TACCCTTTTTATCTAAAGAAAATTTTACTAGAAAAAAATCAACCCGGCCCAGGCAGCAGACGGGACATGAACCCGCATCCTTCGCAATCCGGGCGAATGCACTGATCATTATGCTACCGCGGCCTTTCTTAAGCTACAAGGCAGCACCCTCTCTTCCCATTGTAGATAACCCACAATGTCAGGGTGGATTTTTTTTCTAGTAAAATTTTCTTTAGATTTCAACATCTAGCTAGTGAGGAGCTCGATGGCGCAAGTGGTTAGCGCGTTCGGCTGCGTTCGTTGAAGTTAAGCAACTTTCGCAGTGGTCGGTCATTGGATGGGTGACCAAAAATTAATATCTCGAGCTCCTCCGTGTTTCGGAAGGCACGTTAAGCCGTTGGTCCCAGCTGCATCTGCAGTCGTTAGCACCCACCAATCCACACTGGGCCCGCGTGGTGGGTTATGGCCAAATCTCCCTATTCCATTCATAGGGAAGGCCTGTACCCCAGCAGTGGGGACATTAATAGGCTGATGATGATGATGATGATGATGATGAAACATCTAGCAGTTAAATGCTTAAAAAATAAAAAAATATACCCTTTTTATGTTAACAAAAGTCCACCAAAGCCTGTAGACGCTTGCGATAGATTCTTAACTGATGTGGAGACGGAAAGATTGGCTTAATTTGGTATGAAAGTATTTATAGCGTTATGATATACGGCATTTTGTTGTAGGGCTCAGTTACTTATATCGTTAGCATTTTCATATTGCAAGAGAGAGCTGTTCGCGTGATATACAACTTGAAGGCAAGATTATCTTTGAAATTTGTAAAGAAATTTATATTTCAACACTGGCATCACAATACGTTTATGATAATATAATATATGTAAGAAAACACTATGACGCTTTTATAAAAAAAAGTCAAACCAATAACTTTAACACGAGATTAAAGAACTAGCTTGCTGTTCCTTGTTTTAGGCTCCAAAAATTATAAGGTTTTAATATCCAATTCGTAATAAATAAATATTTTTAACACTCGCACCAATTCCCAATCCCAAAATAAACACTGTAAGGCCTATGTTATGGGATACTAGGGTAACGGATAGAAAACATATACTGTACATACATAAGAATTTTATATAGAAATACATATTTAACATCCATGACTGGAGTACAAATACAAATGCTCGTATTCATCACACAAACATCTGCCCCCACCGGGATTCGAACGGGACCTCTCGAGTCGGCATCACAAACCACTCGGCCACGGAGGTAGTAATAAGGGGCGTATTTATTTTTGTTGCAAGCATTCTATAATTATGGCTGCTCACAATTCGTAAAGTATCTTCGACCTACGTTTTATAAATTATCTATTTCTCAATCTCGTTCGCACCTAAAAAAAGGAGGTACCTGTTAAGATCAAGTCACATTTTAACAGCAACTGTTAGATTAGTATACCAAATAGGTAATGATTTAAACAACAAACACACACAAAGAAAAAAAACAAAGAAAAACGGTAATATTCAAATAAAATGCAAAAAGCATACAATATAGATATACAATTAAATAAGGGAGTTGAAGGGAGTAAATATTATACTTTAACTCAACCTGTTTCCGTTTACACAAAAATTACAAAACATTAAAAGTACAAAACGTAAAAGAAAAACACAATAAAAAAAAATGAAAAGAAAATCATAACATAGACAACACACATACTTTTTATTTTTAACAAAAATTAAGAATATAAAGAAAGCAAATTTAAATCCTACATTTCCAAACACAAAAAAAAAATCGAAATGGAATACAGCCATGAGCGCGGGCTGGATTAGCGCCGTATCCGGCGTCCGGGGGTCCACAACCGGTGAAAAATTGAACCGTTCATTGTTTTAAATGTCGGTACGTGACGGGCCCGCGGGCTTAATTCGTCGCGTTCGAGGGACAATAATTGTATCATCTTCCAACGAGTTCCCTCGCTTATGACTACCACTAGAATAGCATAGGTTCGATTTAATTATGGGCTGTGGGAAATGAAGGGTTTTAATGTATTTGCAAAGTAATGGTGTAGCTGAGTATTGAGAGTCTAGAAAATAAGAAATAAAAAAAAATATCAAAGGCAAAAGTTTTACGATTTTTCTTGTACTAATATTATATCTAAAATTTTCTTTCGTGTATTTTTTTATACTAAGTGTAAGTGGAGACCAAGTCCGACTCGACATAATACTTGCAAAGAAATAATGAATTAGGTGACAATTTTATTGCTTTTGCATTTTATGGTCGTATATAGGTCGTCTTTGTAATGCTATAAAAAGTTAATAATACAGAAAATAAATATATTTTTTATTGACATAATTTATCATAAGAGTATAATAGCAACTCTATCAAATGTGTGTAGTATAATAGGTAATTAATGATCTGTTAATATTTTATGGTGCTCCCACAACTACAGAGTTAGTGATTCACTTTTCATTGTATAACCAAATGTACTATTTTATATTATTATCATTGAATGCACTTGTTTTTAAAGTTAATACACAAAAGTAACTTTTACAATCAGGTATCATCTATGCATTTCCGGTTAGAATAAGGTACTCTGTGACAGAAACTGTGGTAATTGTAAATGAGCCACAGATTACAGAGAATTTAAATGCAACCGATATATGAAAGAATCCATGAACACTCTGCGCGTGCAATACAATAATATTTTCAGGATGATGTTGGGACTGCCCCGCTTCTGCAGTGCCTCTGGAATATTTACTGAAACTAGTAGGTTTCCATGCCGTCTAGCGGAAAAAAGTTACGTCACAGAGTAGAGTGCGTAGCAGTAACAACACCATTCTGAGAGTCGTGGCATCCGCATGCAACATTTTGGAGGCATTCCGTGCGAATTATGACTGGAATAGAAGGTAATTATTCTTGTCGCTCGCGCGGAGTGCCTCTAAAGTACATGACCTTGTAAAAAACAAAAATGTTCTAAATGTGTGAATACTTACACTTACTATAGGCTACTAACACTCAGTTATAAGTTATATTGTGTACTAGAATATGGATCTGTGTTGTCTGCCAATACATGATATTATTATTATTATTAAATTTCTATGCTGTAAAATATTTAATTTCTTATAACACAAGTCCGATGTGGAATTCGATACAAAAACATCGTCTTAATAGGGATGATGACTATTTTTTTCTTCGTTTATCAGGTAGATTATCAAAAAGTATTGAACACGTATTTTTTTCTTTTTTCACATAATACTTATAAACATTTCAGAGATATTTTGATTTGAAAAGTCGCATGACGTCACGTTTTGGTACAATTTTCACTTAAAAGTGACGTCAAGAGCCCCTACTCCCAAACTTTGACGCGCTATAACTTTGTCATTTTTTGGTTGATTGCCCAAAGAAAAAATACGTGTCCATTATCTTTTGATCATCTAAGTGACGGACTAAATAGAATTTCGTTTACTGTACCCCGTCATCACCCCTATTATTGTATCACTCATAACTCTCTACATTTACTCATTCTCTCTTTCGTATTCATCGTCAGTTTTGGCCTAAGCGTCAAACACATCTTTGTATGGAAGTTTGCGATATTCGTCTAAGGAATGGTCCCGTTGTCGCATAGAGTACAAAATATTTGTATTTAGCGATAGACATTGGTTAACTTTGAACTGTATAATGGTTTGACTTTGTTAGTCTCGTCCATTCTTTTTTATATTTTTTTTATAGTCAGGTAGGCAAATGACTCTACCCCACCTGATGTTAAGTGGTGACAAAGTCCAAACGCGAAGAAAGCTGGTACAGCAGTTATAAACTGCCACACCAACCATCCTCACCTTGCCGGCCTACAAAAATGCTTCTTCAGGTCTCTCGTAAAGGACCCCAGATTGTAGGAAGGAGGGAACACGTGCGCGGGCAAAGAATTCCACTTAATTTTTTATTAGTGATAGGCTCGCGTACTATCTTGCTTTTTTCCTTTTGTGTTTTTTTAATAAAGTGACAGCGTGTAACACTGATGCTTTGTCCATAGAATATTTAATAAAAATTTGGTCTGGTCAGACTTACATCCTGAATTATTTGCACGTGATCGATTTAAGTGTGTTGTAAAGGACACTTTCTTATTTTATTTGGTAATGCATGAAATCTATCACTGAAAAATTAAGCTGGGGTCATTTCTAAAGTTATTTCATAAAAGTACTCAAAATTGTAATTACCTCGTTTTTAGATAATATTTAGATAGCTCTAAAAAGAAGAGAACAACTACAGCCATTTTCGTTTGTATTTTTAGTTATTTGCTTCTCCTGATAAGTCCCATTTAGTCTTTTACGCCCTTTGAGCCTGAAGGAATCGTATTTTTAATGTAAAAGTACCTAAGAAATAATAAATCTAATTCTAATAACAAAATTTTCATACTTCAACAATCACTCAAAAACGTTTATTTTTCAAATTAGGTTTAGATAATTTTTAAATTAATTACCGCAACAGCTTGATTCGAGTATAATTATGGAACAAAGGAACAAAAAATACTCTATCTCAGTAAATTAAGTACTTTTCTTTAGTATGAGAGATTGAGAGAAGGTTTTTACATATGAAAAATAATTCAATAATAGCCGCACAATTTTTACATTTGTTTAATTACCCATATTAATCAGCATTCTTACTTAGCCTAATACCTAAGGTATTATTATTTTCTTTCTATCATCCCAAATAAAAGTTTATTGATACTAAGTGAATTTGTTCTATCTACAGTCTAAATGTATCACTTCATATTATGCAACAAAAAAAACAGTCTTTAAGACATATTCACAATAAAGTGAGTGCTCAATATACCATAAGAGACGTAGAGCTGGCGTAATACATAATGCAAAGTACATCTTGCGAAAAAAAGAATTGCCGCGAACAATGCATCGGTGGCACAATAAAATCCATCACGAATCATATTATTGTGTTACCTATACAAAGTGATTGTCACTCGGGCCGCACATGGCGGCGAGGGTGAGGCGGGGCCTATCGCACCACGCCCACGGTGGAACGGCGCGGCGATAAGGTCGAAATCAGTATGGAGATTCGAGAGATTTTCGGCTTTAGTGAACGGAAAGCCCAGGAGCTCGACCGGAGTGTGCGACGGCCTTAATACATACTCGCCGCCGGTGCCGGGCGCACGCACTGCGGCCGTGTCTGTGTTTCCAAATTCGAGCGCGATTCCAAATTTGAAAAAAATCTCGAACTCTGGTATTTTTAAAAAAAAAAGTAAATCCCGTTCCGTTCGTAGAATAGTTTTACTTTTATTTTTTATTTTTCTTTCGATTTCGCGGGTTCTGTTATGCGGACTTTTTGTATTTTTTTCTAAAGATGGAAATTAGTGCAATGCCTCCGATGCCGTTGGACTTTTCCATGGTGAGAAGCGGAAACGGATCGCCTGCTGGTATTCGAGAGTCATCTCCGAGACCGGTATCCAATAGCGCTTTCAGAGTTGTCACACCTAAAGGTAAGCATTTGTTATTTAGTTCTAATAGTAATAATATATAAGTGTATTGTTTCGTCAGCTCAACTAATATTTATGCTGAAACTTTTCAAGTACTAAACTTTATAGACATCTGTTTTACCTTTTCAATGCTACTAAAGCTTATTAAAACTTGGTAAAGTGATTGTTGTCGATATATTATAATTCTAGGCAGTTGAGTTTTATTTTTTGCAATTACTATGTTCTATTAGTAACTGTATAGTGTCCTTAGCAAAGATAAATAATGACAAAACTTTTCGATTTCAAAATTTTATACATATTTTTTTTACTTTTCAAAGCTACTAAAGCTTGATAGTTCTTGATAAAGTAACTCTTATGGGTAAATAATAATTCTCGACATGTGACATTATATTTTTGAAATTGGAAATCGTATTATCAATAGAAGAACGAAAAACATTTTATATTTTTTTAAAGTTTTGGTAATTTAACGATAGGAAAAGGACGGTTACTGTAAAATAGGTATTCATTTTAGATTACCTACAAAGTAACGAGGTAATTATTATACCTAAAAAGTATCGAACAAGTCTGGAAGAAGTGTCGTTGTTTTCACGTTGTCCTTTTCACTGAAACTCTCCACTCATTGATAAATTCACATATCTAATGAAATGGAAATACAAATATGAGAAAACGTTTTAAAATACACCATCAAAAGAGTCTTAGCCATATAAAGTTTTCGAACTTTTCCCCGATTTAATATTTTAATTTATTTTGTTAATAATAACCAAATTGATTTATTCGAGACTAAAGCAAAAAAGCCTTTGAATAAATTATACATTTCATAACGATATTGCTTAAACTTACGGTTTACGTAGATGATGCATGTTGCTTAGATTTTTTTGATGCGTATACTTAAAGTGTTGCCAGAAATGAAAAAAACTGTTATACGAGTATTATAATTTTTTATTTATCAATATCAATCATTGAATTGCTTCTTTAATTTTTGCAAAAAAGGACTTTCTGGTAGGTATATGAAACTTGTGACTGCATTTTTATTAACAAATAAATTTATCAAAATAAAAAAAAATCTTTCGTTGCAAGTCAAACACTACATAAATTTGTAAACATTACCAAGTCATAGAATGGAACTTAGGACTAAGTATAAGTTATTTCTAATGTATGGAAACAGCAAGAGGCGAATCGTATGAAAGTTTAGCGACCCGCCCATGATTTGCGTTTGTAAAATTAATTTAAATAAGTAGATATTAATAAAACTACTAAATAATATAGGTAACATAATTCACGCAAGAATAACGTGGCTTTATACTAGTGAAGGAATTTACAAAAGCGGTTCTTAGGTTCTAGATATTACTCCCTACAAACAAACTTTACCTCCTCATAACCTATCATCATCATAGTCTATTAATGTCCCCACTGCTGGGGCACAGGCCTTGCCTATGAATGGAATATGGAGATGGGGCCGTGACACACCACGCGGGCCCAGCGAGGATTGATAGGAACTTACGACTGCAGATGCCGGGCCCAACGGCTTAACGTGCCTTCCGAAGCACGGAGGAGCTCGAGATAACAAGTTTTGGTCACCCATCCAATGACCGACCATTGCGAAAGTTGGTTAACTTCCACGATCGCCGACTGAACGCGTTAACGCCCTAACTCCACCTTAAAACCTGTAGACAGAAAAAATATCTGACAAAGAAATGCGATGCAAATGCAAATATGGCGATAACGGCTGAACACGAAGGATGGAAGAGGAAAACATACCTATTGCGCAAACCCTCCAATAGACTAGGTCTTAAGGCCTCTCTCAGGAATGTCTATTAAATTTAATGCTTGTCAAAGTAACTTGTTGTCTTAATCTAAGTATTTCTGACCAAAAGAAAGAGGCAGAACAAATAATAGGGACGATGACGGGCTAAATTAAATGAAACTATATTAAGTCCGTCAGTAAGATTATCAAAAATTTATTGACACTTTATTTTTCTTATTGTCAATCAATCAAAAAATTACAAAGATAAAGCGCGTCTAAGTCCAAACCCGGTGACGCTGTAAAGAAAACCTGCGAACAACAGCATACAAATTAAAAAAAAAACAAAAAAGCGTCACAGTTTGGGGTAAAGGGGCTTTTGACGTCACTTCTAAGTAAAAATTGTAGCAGTGGCATGACGGCATGCACAATTTCAAATCAATATATCTCTGTAATGTTTTGATAATGTGAATAAAGAAAAATCCGTATCCATCCAATACTTTTTAGATAGAAAAGTTAGTCGTCAGCCCCATTGTAGTTCCTATACTACTTACAATATCCTGTCTTAAAAAAACAAAAGCCAATTCCACTTCCATTCTAATAATGACCATTAGTGATGTTCACACGTCTGCAATGCCGATATCGCGTAATAGCAATCATGGCCCATATTCCGTTGCTTCATTTCAATATAATTTTGCACGCGAAATGCATTCGAACGAAGTCTTTGGAAAAGTGGTAATTTCTATTGGCTATAAGCGCATACGGGAGCTGCTCTCAAAAGCGAACCACGTCGAAACACAAAGCGGGAATACCAACTGAAATATTAATTTTCAATTTCTCATTGCTACCTCTCATCAGGGGTGTGAGATGTACCTATTTTTTTTTCTCATTTTGCCGCCTTTCTGATTGCACATGGGTGTATGCATCATTGTTGATTGTAGCTAGTTAGATATTGTAATTACCTATTAAATGGTAGGTTATATTTTGATTGCTTTCATCTTAACACAGTTAGCATTAAGTTATGGAATCTGAAATAAATAAAATGAAACAACCACCACAGAGTTAAAAACATGGTAAAGAATATATGTTTCTTAGATTTTCACGCACATCACTCATTAATCCGATCCGATCGACAAACTAAATAAAAATCATTATTCTGTCAACGGCAGCCTTTGCAGGAGCATTCCTGCGAAACGTCAATAAATAAATGAAATCAGTGCATGTAACCCTTTGAAACTTGTTTTATTTAATGGTAAAGAATCTTTTTCTCATGTTCAAAGGTGGTAAAGAAACATATGGCCGCCTGAATGGTAAGTGGCTACCATAGCCCTTAGAGCTTAGACGCTTGCTATACCAAAACTATCACTCGCGCCGTTACTTGCCCTGACCCCATCCCCTACCCCGTGGAACCGTTTCTATATTAATCCGACCGGGAACATAATTTCCCGGGAATATAAGATCGGTAAGCATGCCTCTCATACCCAAAGAACGGAATTTACTTAAATCGTTAAATTAATCAAAAATACGCGTTAAATAATAAATATGTATTAAATAAAACTAGTTTTTACGGGTTAATGCACGAAACTTTATTTTTTTATTGACGTTTCGTAGCCTTTACAGGCTTCGTCGTCAGAATAAAACTTTTATTTAATTTGTCGAGCTACCTTCGAAAGACTTTTATTGAGCGTTTGGTTATTTCTTTGTTAGATTTTTAAGTTTTATTGTCTATGAATTTATTATTTAATTTACTTAATAAAGTATTTTATTTAAAATTCTTTTTGTAATTTTGAGTTTATTTATTTGACCCTAACTACCGTAAACTACCACCGGTTCCAAAATTGGGAGACCTAAATAAAGTTTCGTGCATTAACCCGTAAAAACTAGTTTTATTTAATGAGTGATGTGCGTGAAAACCTAAGAAACAAATATAATAAATATGTATGTCCAATTGAGTAAGTCAGTTTTTTTTAAGTGGGTTTATTGCCTTATACTCCTATTATTCATTCTAGATTCACATAATAACTTATGTGGAACAAACATAACATATTTTCTTAATCAATCACGATATGATGGACAGTTTGATACATAGATAAATAATTTCTTTTTTTATTTTAACTTTTATAAATAATAATAAACTTCGTACAATTCTCGCCCAAAACAGTAACTTTTCTCAAAAATAAATTAACAATTGTTTCAACGATTTAATCACATAATTCAGTTGCAATTAAAGTAGCTACTTGCAGTTTTCCAACAGCACATATAATGATATACTTATCTCATTAATTAAACATCAAAGTAGTTATATTTAGTATTCTAAGCAACAGTTCCAAGAACTTCTGCGTATTTTCTATACTCACTTAACAATATCTGAAATTCTCTCATTGCTTGTTTATTTGTTTATAATTACGACCACAATCAATTTAGAAATTACCTTAATATAATTCCAACTCGAATAAAAACTTCGGTAACATCACTTAAAAAGAAAAGAACTTCTCGCCAAACCCTAAAATGCAACACAATCAAAGAAAGATTCCCCTAAAAACAGTGGGCCAAATTAACCCGAAGCCTACGTAAAAAGGGCAAAAAGCATTGTCGGACGGGGCGAGCGGGGACAATAACACCATAACTGTAATCCGCGGTCCCTTCGACCCGCCAACCCTCTTGAACATTCAAGTGTTTAGGGTGTTAATTCTTGGAATGACATTGCACCAGTTACACTTTTGAATTTTGTTTTCATGCAATTTTTTTGGTGTGTTTTTTGTTTGATAATTTAATTGTGGCTATAATAAAAAATTGTGTTTTATTTAATTAGTAATGAAAGATTTCAATGTGTGGACAAAGTTTCTTTTGTTCTTTAAACAAAAGATATCAAGGGTTGTAGTCATTTCCTTGAAGTAACAATTTAAAATTTTCGCTGTCACTTACATATCTGTACTTAGTAATTAGCGAGATTGTTACCATATAGTACTTTGTTTTTTTGCGAGTTCTCGATATTTCAACACTATTACACGTGCCATGATGAACAGTATGTAGTTATTCTGTAAGGAAAAACTCTTTGCCTCGGAATCCTCGGTGTGATTTCAAATTAGAACACGAATTTTTAATAAAATTTCGAATCACAACGGCGCGGCTAAGTCCGCGGTATAAAGTTCCACGGGGGTAAATTCACGGGTTTTATTAAAGGTTAATTTTAAAGTATTTAAAAAGACAGGTAAGTATTCTTTACAATTTTTAACGTGTAAAGGTTGGTAAACCAGCGTAC